TCAGTTATATTATTCTATTGTTCAATGACTATTTTATTCAACGATTTTCTTTTGCTCTAATTATACTGTTGATTTATAACTGTTGATGATATTTGAATGCGGATTACCATCAACATGATTTCATTACTATTATTATAGTAATGAAAGACTCATTTCGAACGAATCATAATCTGATTGGTTGATCGTTCATGTCGTAGCCGGAATCGTAATCGGTGCTTAGTTTTATGCTTTTAGACTCTTCTTCGATGGAAAGAGGCGCAAGACATTGACGCACTCGAAACAGAAGCGAAATCAATAGCGAAATCGAACAATCCGAAAAGGGATATCGTACTGCAAACGTTATATTCTATTATTGCTGAGAAAAGACTGGCTGAAAAGGTTTCCTTTCATTCAGTATTCGCATAGTTATGATGCAGAGTCAACTTTTACGAGGAATTTCATTCGAAAAAGTTTCTTTTGTGTAGAGAAATCGATCAGTTGATGAAATCACTTCATTGTGTTCGACTGGAATTTCGTTGACGAATTGTAACGTTTGTGTTGATATTCAGGTGTTGAACGTGGATTCAGTGACTTGGCTACTTGAAAGTTATAGTGCACTACGGGCAACAGCTGCAACCAATGGATTCTTCTTCGAATTCAATACGAAATTACGAAGAACTATGAAAGAAGCATTGGCTAATAGGAATATTAAAGCTGCTGATAAATTATGGAATATTGGGTGATTTTTCATTGATTATTTTTTGCTTTTATTTCACAATTTTTCTTGTGATAATTTTCAAAAGAAATTCTGTTGAAAATTGATAGGTATCGTTAGCTTCACATGTTTATTTATTTTTTGATTTGTTTAGTTAGCAAATCCAACTCATTACGAGTTCATGCCTCTCTGTTATCACTAATATCACAGTCTTCCTTCCTTGGTATTTTTCTTTCCACGCAGTTAACAATAATAGCGTCGGGAATCATCTATCTTCATGAGATTCGAACTTGGATTGTTGATGTGGCAAGCGCGGAGGTTTTGGGCTACTCTATCATTTGCCCAATGCTTTCTGGAGAGAGGGACTAAAAAACTGCCCAAATTATAGTTGAAAATAGACAACTTCGCGTGTTACACCAAATGTAATAGGTATCCAAGTAACATTTGCATTTTTGCAGTTCAAAATCGATGCCGACGATGATGAAGATTGCTTATGCAGCCTTACTGCATACCAATCGACGAGTGGACGATGCGAAACGAGTTTTGACAGAAATATTCTCGAATGCTGAACCGTTCGATCTTAATAACATTTCCACGGTACGGTTTTAGTTGAATTTAAAATTGATTTATTCGATTGGCATCGAATTATATCTTCAGAGTAATGAATTTGTGCTGAATGACATTTGTGAATCGAATTGTTCGTATTGCAGAGTGCGTTATTGGTGGACGATCGTCAAGAGAATGAAGCGTTTTTGGGTTTATTCGCACGGATATTCAAATTGAATGCCGAATCGAGGAGACGTCTGCTGAATGGAATTCGTTTCAGAGAATTCGAGAAACTGATCGATGCGTTCGTTTGTTTAATGTTGCACTCTTTCACTCTTAATGATAGCAGTGTTTGAGTATATTGTAATAGTTTTGTGGCTTTGTTTTGCAATGTTCAACCATTCTCAATGACATTTTCCGTGTTTAGAAAATATTGAAATGTGAATCTCACATGAAACTCTTCGCCATTTCAGCGGTCATCTAGAGGAAGCATTCTCGTTTGCGAAAGATATCAGTGCCGAAACTGGGCGAGCGTTCGGGCAGGTCGAGTTGATGGGTGCTGCGCTCCGAATTGCTGATATGCAACTGCTCAACAATGGTAGCTTCATTGATTTCATTTGATTGGATGTTAAATTTGTTATTCATCTATTTTGTTTTGATGTATTTGGTTGTTAATTCGTTGGCGAATTTATTTCCTCACTAACTTATTTATTCTGTATAACCGGTGATTACTTCACTTGATTCTTCATTAGCTGACTCTTCATTAGTTGCATATTTTTGAAAACTTTTCAATTCGTTGTTTTGCTTGAAATTGTGCAGATAGTAGTTGTTTATTAAGTGACAGATAAGGTGGCCATAATTTGGAAATTGTAGTAATTGGGATGGTGCAGCAGAAGCACGATAAGAACGCGGCGTTGATCGATTTCGGCGTTGCGCTGTTGGAGAATGAACGAATCGAGCATGCTGCACGCATTTTTGCAGTTAGTTTCTGCTTGTCGCTGTTCGCTTTTGAATATTCTTTTTTTCGCGTGGATTCTTTCGAAACTTTTTTCAGTAATTTGGATGGACATTTTGATAGGTGAAAGTTCAACGAGATCAGATCTGTGCCTTAGGATTCATTCATATCGAAGCTTTCTCTATTTGCTTTGATATTTCAGACAAGTGGTCTTCATGTAAGCTCAGGGAAGTTGGAGTATTTCGTCGAGCGGGAACGGCGTGCAAAAAGGGTTGGGTTTGCTTTTTGTCATCTTAAATTTATAAATTGTGGTTGTTTTGAAAATGACATCCACTGAAGTGTGTACTTTTTGAATTGCAAAATATGTTGTGTGTCAATATGTT